AGAGGTGGGAAGACGGCGGCTGGGCGCGGAAAAGGCGGGAAAACGGACCGCTCGGAAGCCGGGAACCCTCCTGCCTGGGTCGCGGGCTCCCCAATCGAGGCATCGGGGCCAGCAAATGCTGGGGAGGCTCCATGGGTCCAAGCCATCGTGAAACGGAGGGCCCGAGGACTCGCGTGACCTGCCCAAGGTCACAGTGCATGTACGGCAAAGCACCTTCCAGCTGGCTGGAATGGCCCATCTTATTCCACGGACGAAAACGCGGCGTCAAGGGGCAGCTTGGGGGGCGGCCTGCCGGAACCTATGGCCTAACAGCCAGGATCCCGAATGGGGTATTCCCTGGGGGAAATACCCCATTGCCCCCAAATTCCCACCTCACCCCAGCCCCCAGTCAACACCCCTGGACACTGGGCAAAATAAGCCTTTTATTTTCCCCACATCCCCAGCTCTTCACTGTTTGCACCGTCTCTTCCAACTCGGAACCAGGGCCCAAGAGGTTGCTGCAGACCCGGGACCTGCGGAGGAGAGACGGACAATGAAAAACAGCGGCAGGTGCGCGCCAGGGCCTTTGGGGCAGGCTCTAGGCTAACTGTCACAATTGAGGAAGGAGCCACAGGAAGTGACTGGAGCCAGGAGTGGCACTGGGCCCAGTCAGGATGGCCTCAGGGCTCTGGGATCTGCCAGGGTTCAGAATCTAGCCTGCAATCCTGGTTGACTCATCGCCAAAAAGGCTGAGGTGGTTCCACCCACTTCCTGTCCCTGGTAGGTGGCTGGGACCGGCAGACAAGCTGAGCCAAGTTGCCCTTGAACTTCCAGTCCCTCTAGTGGAGCCCTTCCTTCCCTGGGTCAGAGCAGCCACTGCTTCTCCCAGCTCTTCCCGGGAGCGGAGCACAGCACAGCACAGCATAGCAGCCATGCCACCAGCGGGTGCATCGTGTCTGATGGTCTTCAAAGAATTGGTAGAAATATGGAACTGAATGATAACAGGATGTTTCCATGCACTTTTTGAAGCCACTTGTATGGCTCTCAGATTACAAGACCCACTCGCCAGAATTTTTTTTTTAACAGATATATTTCCCCCCTAATAAGCTAATGTGAACTAATTTAGCACCCGCTTTGTGAAGGAGCCTCTTATCAGGACCAACTTTTCTTCTAAATGCAATAAAGCCAAAATGGAAGCGGCATGGTCCATGCCATGTGCTTGGGCACTTGTAGCACCTTGTAAATGGTGGCTTAACGTCATCAATGAGATTTCTGGGTGCTGCTCAAGTTACATTTTATTTAAAAATGATCATACTGCTGTGTTACGATTTTAGCGCACAGGAGCAAGACACGCATGTGTCTTCCTCAGGATGCACCAACTCTGAACCTTTTAAACTCACCGCTGTTGCCGATAAAAAAAAAAATGTGAAAAAAGAGGAGCTGATACCAAGGGCTCAATAGAAAGTAATTATCTAGAAAAGAACGATGGCAACATATGTACAAATATGCCTGATACAACTGACGTATGGATTGTAATAAGAACTGTAAGGGCCCTCAATACAAGGCACGCATGTGTATAGCTCATGTAAAGGAGCCTGGTAGCGTCGTGGGTGCGTGATGAGCCACTAACTGCAAGGTCAGCAGTTTGAAACCACCAGCCACTCCTTGGGAGAAGATGGCGCTTTATACTTCCGACAAAATTTTAGTCTCCGCAGCTCCCAGGGGCGATTCTACGCTGAGCTGCGGGGTCGCTCTGAGTCGGCTTCGACTCGATGGCAGGGAGGGTTTGCGTAGTTTGGGGTTGTATTTCATGGATCTGTAAGATTCCGTGGCCCACAAAACAATTTTTTTTCAGGTTGCATGTAAATTACTGACACAAGCGTCTGTACTGTATGATAGCTAACCTTTTTATAAAGTTCAAAAAGGCAAAAAAGACTAAACCGTATTGTTTAGGAAGGAACGCTTGGTGATAAGTGATGGAGCGAGATGGTAGTTACCTCTAAGGCAGCGGTTCTCAACCTTTGGGGGCCGAACGACCCTTTCACGGGTCACCCGATTCATCACAGTAGCAAAATGACAGTGCTGAAGTAGCAAACGACAATAATTTTATGGTTGGGGGGAACATGAGGCACTGTACTCCAGGGCCTTGGCCTGTGGCAGGTGGAGACCACTGCTCCAGGGGGAGGAGGATGTGGTCAGAGAGAGTGACAAAGAGGAACTCCAGGGAACTGGCAGGAGGGTTGGGTGGGTTGGCGTTTTAGTTTGAGTCGGGTTTACAAGGTCTGCGTTGCCATCATTTGCCCAGCTGTCCGTGTAGATGTTGTGGGCTTTTCTACCCTGAGTGTTAAAAGTTTTAATAGTGAGAAGAAAAGCGTTGACTGCTGGTGTACACTGTTCCCAGGGGCAGCTGAAGGCGGATAGGGTTCCCATGGGCCCGAGGAAGCAACAGTTGGGGACGGATCCGCAAGCTCTCCACTGTCTAAAATCACCACTCCTACCCCACTCCCTCTCCCCAAACGGCTGAGGCGGGTAAAGAATCTCACCTGAGAAGGCGGCAGGCCCTGGGGCCAGTGACTCAGAGCCGGGTTCGAGACCAGTGAGGCTCCCGGTTCGGCTGGAAGCACACTGCGGTGACACAGCCGAGGAGGCCACAGAAGAGCAGCAGGAAAGAGCCCGAGGCCAGCAGCCTGGAGCCACACAGGGCCAGCTCCTCCTGGAGGCGGGAACAAGGGAGGAGGCGAGGGAGATGGAGCACGTGCCCTGGGGAAGACCTCTGACCCCCAGCCCACGGGTTAGAGACGGAGGGGGGCAGGAGAGGCTTCTTGCTACACAAGCCAACATTTGGCTTCAATGGCTTACAAACAGCTTTTCTGCCTGCCCCATGACTCAACTTGAATCCCTATAGAGTAGCTGCTCTCAACCTGTGGGTCTCGACCCCTTTGGGGGTCAAATGACCCTTTCACAGGGGTCGCCCGATCCATCACAGTAGCAAAATTAGTGATGAAGTAGCAACAATACTTTTATGGTTGGGGGTCACCACCACGTGAGGAACAGTATGAAAGGGTGGCGGCGAGGAGGGTCGAGAACCGCTGTCCGAGGGCTTCCACGAGAGAGGAGCACTCTGTGTTCTCTGTACTGTACAGATGCACACGCAGGGCCAGGTGTGGAGCCCAGGCTGTTTGACTGCAAGCTCTCAGGTCATGCTCCTTACGGGGGTCCTTTCAAGGCTACACTTCTAAGGCAAGAGCATGCAGCAGCCTCCCAACGGATCCCTGCCCTTTACTACAGCCAATCTCCACCCAACCCTAGTGGAGTGTCCCCTCCCTTCTCAAACCCTGCAGTGTCCAGTCGGAACATCTGGATGTTCCCGGTGCCTCGTCATCTACCCCTGCAGCCTCTCCTCCTAGAACTTCCAGATCATGGAGTTCCCCCCCAAAGGCTGACCATTTTTTCAATCTCCAGGCCGGTGCTCACGCTCCAGGTCTTTGCCTGACATGCAGTCCGCCTCTTCTGACAGTTTCCTCCCACCCCCACTGCTTTTCCTACGCAAACCTCATGCTTTCAAGGATCTGTCTGGGAAGGCAGGACAAGGCTGGAACTGGAAGTCAGAGCGGGGGGTTGCAACTCTGGCTGTGCCACTCAGCCACAGCCTTGGGCAGTTCTCTCCCTCTCTGTAAATGTTTCCTCATCTGTAAGATGGGATCACACCTCCCTCACAGGGCTATTTTTAAGATCAAATGAGGCAATGAACCTGAAAGGACTGTGTGCATTATAAACTACTGTGCACAATTCTCTTTCTTAAAGGCCACCTTCCCTGTGAAGCACTCTCCATAAATGTTCCAGTCAGGGCTAACTGCTCTCTACTCTGTGTTTATAGAACACTCTGCTCACATCTCTATCATAGCTATTAGCGCATTCGGCCTCTTAATACAGTTTCTGAATGCCTTTGAGGTAGAGAGCGTGTTTTCTCTCACTGACAGACACTTATTAATAGTACTATCTGTCATTGATCAAACCTCCATCATTTACCAGGCATTGTGCAGTTTACATTCATTCGCATCGAATCGTTATCTGCTGGTCTTAGAAGATGGTGTCATGGTTTCCATTTCACAGAAGCAGCAGCTGAGGCCCAAGGAGTGTGCTCCAAGGCCATCTACCGCAGCCCGGGCCAGAGTGCAGAGCGGTGCTTTTCTGACTGGCTAGCACCACCTCCTGGAGCTCCCGGGTCATAACACCCTGCAGGGCGGTCTATGAGACCCGGCGGCTGGGAAATGGCTGGGAAGAACAGGTAAGAATAGCTCGGGTGGAAGAAAAGGGCACAGGGGACAAGTGGCATCCAGGATGCTGCGGCTCTTACTGAGGTGAGCAGTTTGGTGAGCACAAGGCCTTCGTGGCTCCACACTCTGACACAGCCCACAGCCGTCTTCGGGCTCAGAGTGGCGTTCCCTGCTCCCTCCTCTGAGCAGGACATGGGTGGCTGGCTGGTCGGCAGGATCGGCTGGGCAGCACTGAAATACAGGCAGGTTCCTGGTGTCCTTCTGGGGGTTACCCTGGCTGTAATGAGGACCCGTTCTTCCGCAAAAGACCCTGTGAGGCCCAGGGGAGAAAGAAAAGAAAGTGAAGGGTGGAGTGGGGGCCCTCTGTTCCCAGCTTTCTATTCATGGCGGGGCTTTTGGGCACCAATTCTGTTCAAGAGTAAAGTCCTCCGTCTGCCATAATTCACAACATCAGGAAATGAAGGGAACCGTGGGCCAATGTAAATGAAAATTAACTTAGATTAGCTTGCACGCCATGAAACAGTAATACCAGCACTCGCCAGGTCCCCAAGAAATGGGCGTAGATGCACATTACCCATGTCCGTCTGGGTGATGTGTCTTCCTTTTTAGGAAAGCGGGTTTCCACTAGCTACCAAAATCCATTTAAGAATTCACACTCCATTTCAAACAAATGGGTAAAGGACAACCTGTTCAACCAGCACATGACCTAGGGACAATTTCCACTAGGAAAAAAAAAAGTTGGACTCATCTCACACTATAAACAAAATAAAATCCAGATGGATTAATGAGCTAGACAAACAAACAAGCAGGCCCCTAAACAAGTATGAAAAGAAAACACAAAGACACTGATGAACACCTCGCAGCTAACATCACACTCAACAGCGAAAGACTGAATGCCTCCTCACTAAGATCAGGAACAAGACAGAGATGCCCTCTTGTACGAATGCTATTCAATACCTTCTTAAAGTCTTAGCCAGGTAAACTCAATTAGGATAGGGAGGAAAAAACCACCAATCATAAAAGGTATCCAACTGAGGAGGAAATAGAACTACCCGCTTGCCCAAGTGATGTGATCTTACACAGAGAAAACCCCAAAGAATCCACAATAAAGCTATTAGAACAATACAGGAATTCAGCAAGATGGCACGAAAGACTATAAACACATAAACCCAGCAGGGTTTCTATGGATCAGCAAGGAGCACACAAAAGAAAACCAAGGACAGATTACCTCTAAACGAATAAGATACCTGGGAATAACTTTAACCAGGGAAGTAAATTACTTGTACACCGAAAATCGTATCGCACTACTAAAGGAAACGGCGGTGCATTCGGGTTTATGGCTTGAAGGCCTACCAGGGTTAACGGCAGCCCAGATTACCCAAAGCAATCAATACAACTCCCACGCAAGTGCCAGCGTCCGTGTTTTAAAGGCAGAACTACCATACAGGGCTCAATTCTGGGTTTCAACCCATAAAGCTATAGTCTTCTGGAAGGATGGGGCCCGTGTGGAATCACCCGCTGTGCTCCTGTTGTTAGACCAGGAAATCAAGAGGGATGGAAGGAGAAGCTGCCTGGAACTTCAGGCCAAGACGTGAGAGGGGTTGAAAGGGGACCACCTACGTTGCAGAGGAGACAGTTCTGTTGGTGCGTGTGGTGGGTGGTTGGGGAGAACGATCCACACAGCGGCAACGGATGTTAAACCATGAGTGTAGGAAACCTAGGGGGACGATGGGCCAGATTCTAGGTACCTGAGTAGACACTACGAATCCCTTTCCATGCAGCCTTCAGTGAACCACACATGGACTAAGCACCAGGATGATCACGGAAGCTGACCTGGCAGGCAGCAGGGCACAATGCAGGGGCGGCATCAGAGGCCCTGCTGAATGAACTGAACCCTGCCTCAAAGCTGCCTGCACCCTTGGACTAAGGGCTGGGGTTCTTGGATGGGAGAGGAGGCAGAGTGGCCGTCCCATGATTGCGGGAGTGGCAGTCATTGGGCCTTGTGGGGAACCCTCGGCTTGGTGGGTGTCTGGTAGAAGGGGGTCCAAGATCACCATACATGCAGTGTCTCAGTGCCCACCCTGCAGTGTTTGGAATCCACCACCGAACAGGGACCTGTACTTGGGGGAGTTGGCCGCAGGAAGGCTCCCAAGGGCATCAACCCCACGCTTGGGTCAACTGAGCCCAATCAAAGGAAAGATTGGACTGTGTAGGGCAAAGACTCGTGGGCTGCAGCTCAAGGCGAGAATACCAGCACAGACTTCCCATACCGATATGGCATGCTGAGACTTTGGGGACACTGATGAGGGTAACAATGCACTTGACAGACACCAGGGAGGGGTGGGGATTGACCATGCTGCACGTCTTTATACAGGTTGTTGTCTCCCCGCTGGCAGCTTGCTTTTTTGTGTGGTTTTGATTTTTTCAGGTTTTGGGGGGGTATGTGTGTTCTGTTCGGCTCCTGATTGGCTGATGGCTGCTACTGATGCAGTTCTTGTAGGCTTATGATGTCATATTACGACCAACAAAGTAAACCTGAGAAGTGCGCCCCACAAGCAGACGGACTCAGGGTGCCTACCTAACTCTAACCCTAATTCAAGAGCACTTAGTTCTGACCACATGGCCCTGCTGGATACTCACCTTCATGAAAGGATCACTGAAGATAAGGGTGCTACAGCAAAGTGTGGTGAAGAAAGCAGACGGTGCCCGGCTATCAATCGGGAATAGTGTGTGGGGTCTTAAAGCCATGTGTTCAAACAAGCAGCCATCTAAGCGAGGAGTCAACTAAGACCACACAGAAGAAGCACGTCAGCTTGTGTGATCCGATGATGACAATTAAAAAGTTCGAATGTGGCGAAGGGAAAAGTATCAGAGCTAAAATGATGAACAATCAGTAGAAGGCTATGGAGGACGGTGGGAGGCCAGAATGCATCTGCAGAGCACCTGGTCAGACTGAGCCACTGACAGATCCACTCTGGCCACAGGCAAGAGTTTCAACCAGCCTTGCGGCCAGACAGACCACTGTCATCTTGAACATGCTGGATCCAACTCGATGCTTGGCCAGATGACCTCCTTACAGACCTGACCTGAGTTGACAGAAATTTCCTCCCTGGCTTTTGGAAGGTGGATGAGGGCCTTTTGTTTCTTACTCATTATTTGTCCGAGGGGCACCAAAAAAAGCTAAAAACAACTTTATCACCTTCAAAGTACTCTCCATGACACTTCATACGTTTGTCAACTCTGTGATTCTTGGAAACATTTTTCAAACTCATCTGTTTGGATGACTGACAGCCCCTCCTTCATTGTTTCCTTCACCTCTTCTGTGTCCTCAAATTGTCCTTTCATGTCCCTCTGCATTTGCAGAAACAAAAAAAAAGTCGCATGGAGCAAGGTCAGGTGAGTAAGGTGCGTGGAGCAAGAAAGACAAGCTGTTTTTTGCCCAAAACTGGCACACTGAGAAGGCTGCGTGAGCAGATGGAAAAACCAATCCCCCATCTGCCACAAATCAGAACTTTTTTGTTGCACACTGTTACACTATCTTGTCAGAACCTCTAAACAGAGAGCTTGATTAACAGTCTGAGCTGGTGGAACAAACTTCAAATGCACACAAATCCTTATTTTCATCTGTTTGGGAAATTGACAGAAGTCCAGACGAGGTTTGTCATCAGTCGACATTTCACCTTTTTCTGAAAGGAGAAAACCACTCGTACACTTGAGTTTTTCCCACAGTGCTGTCCTTGTAAGCAGTGTTCAACATCACAACAGTTTCTGCGGCGTTTTATTCAAGCAGGAAACAAAATGTCAGAGCTGTACCCCTAGTAGGGAAAAATGCATACGTACTACACAGCTCTGCCCAGAGAGCTTTTTTCTGGGCACCCCCCCCCCGCTATTTTGGTCTTTATATTATTGTTTTATCCTTATGACTATATTTCCAATTTGGTTTTTATTGTTTCTATTGGGTTTCCCAGTTGGTGACCCACAAGAGGGGTAAATGCATACGATAATAATTGATACAGGGGTTGGGAGGGGATGCAGAAATGGGGAAAGGGTGATAGGGAGGGAAGGGGGATTTCAGGAGTGGGAAATGAAGATGGGAGGGGGAGGGAGCACTACAACTGACTGATTGCACAACTCATTTTAAAGGCGATTTAACCATTGGGGGAGGGGTATAATGCTAAACTTGACAGGGTACTAATTATGCAATTCTTGATATGATTGAACTATTGAACTATGTAAATTATGAGCCAATAAAACCATAAAAAAAGGAAAATGTTCAAAAAATAAATAAGAAATAAAGTTACGATAACTAAGACAGTCTGACACTGGTATAATCACAGACATATAGGTCAAGGGAATAGAACTGAGAGTCCAGAAATATATCCACACCTCTTGGGGTTCGGTTGTTTTTTGCCAGGGGCCCCAGTTCCTTCCATTGGGAAGGAGGAGTCTTTTCAATAAATGGTGCTGGGAAACCGGACTTCCACACGTAGAAGAGAGAACCGGGATCCAAGCCTCAGACCGTGAACAAGTATCAAGTAAAAATGAGCAAGGACCTAATGTGAAAACTGTAGTAGGGGCCCACTGAGACAATTTCAACTCACAGCGACCCCACGTGGCAGAGCAAAACCAACCCACAGGGTTTCCCTGGCTGTAATCTTTACCGAAGCAAAGGACAGGTCTCTCCCCATTGGAGCAGTGGTGGATGTGAACTGCCAACCTTTTTGTTTACTGCTGAGCACTGTTTATGCCACCTCTCTCCCTGCCGTTGGGTCAATTCCAACTCATAGTGACCCTGTAGGACAGGGTAGAACTGCCCTGTGGGTTTCTGAGCTGTCACTCTTGAAAACCTTATCTTTCCCCTATGGAATTAAAGGTGGTTTTGAACTGCAGACTGTGTGGTTAGCAGCTCAACGGGTAAGCACGACGCTACCAGGGCTCCTTAAATGTGGACATTAAAAGCACGCAATTCTTAGAAGGAAATATAGGTGTGTGGATGCAGAACCTAGAGGCTCACTGGTGGCGTAGTAGTTATGAGTCGGACAGAGAATGGCGAGGTCAGCAGTTTGAAACCAGCAGCCGTTCCTCGGGAGAAAGATGGGGCTTTCCACTCCAGGAAACAGTTCGGGTGGGAAGCTCACAGAGGCGGTTCTACCCTGGCCTGGAGGGTCGCTCTGAGTCGGCCTCGGCTCAACGGCAGAGCGCTGGGTTTTGGTTTGGGATGCAGAACCGCGTTTGGAACAACGATGAGCTCAAGATCGCACAAACAGCAGCAGCAAGAGAAACAGAAACGGGACATCACGAGCATGAAAT